TTCTACGGAAGGAGAGAAAAGTGAAATAATTTACATTTAAGTGAATAAATTATTTACCTGTTATTTACTAAGGAAAACTTTCCAGCGCTCTAATTTTTTAATTTTTTGTACTTAGCTTTCATCTTTACATTTACGATGCTTTTGGAAAATATATTTAAAAATTTTAAAATAAGACTGTTAAAATGCATTAAATTTCATAAGAAAGGTACCTATAAATTAATTTATAGCACCTTTTCTTATGAATTTCTTATCAGAAGTGTACATAAATACTATAATTTTATGTACATTTATTACATTTTACTGTTATTTGTATTTTATTCATTTTTTATTAATTTTGATATTTCATTCATGGAAAAATGTCATAACTGAGATTAATATAAATTGGGTATAAATTTCATAAGATGATACTGATACTTGTAGGTATTCTTCAGTTGAAATTGAAAAATCAAATTAACTTATCTACGTGTTTCACAAAGTAAAGGCCTTAACAGAGAAATAATGTTTAAACAAATAATGAACTTAATTGTATTCTGGTTGGTCTTCCGTACTTTATAATTACAGCGATTATAAACACAAGATCATTTTTAATTACTGCCGGTCTTTTGATCAAAATGATACAATTTACAACGCTTCAAAATAAAAGATCATCTCATAAAGAGACGCGGCTTTTAACAGCAAATGTAAAATCTATTATAATTAAGAAATGACAAATTGTATTAAAAATTCATTTTTCATCGAAAAAAATTTTTGCTTTCAGAGCTGATTTTTTTTCAGGTAGGGGGGTCCAATTAAAAAAAATAAAAACATGATTTGCATTCCTCAAGCCTTGGCTTTTAAATGTGTAATCACTAAACCAGATGCAGTCAATTTCAAGAGTTTTCAAAAAATTGCATTCCCTCAAAAATATTTTTAAAAATATTTCGACATGAATTTAGTTAAAGAAAAAAAAAATATTTATGCCATTTCCAATTTCATCATCTGAATAGTTCCTGAAAGTTTAACATCTGACAGATTAGGTTTTGCAAGATTTTCCAAATTAATGTGTGTGTCATAAAAAAAAAAAATTGCTAAAAATTGTTATTTATTAGTTCCAAGGATAGAAAGAGAGAACAAGGTTTTTTGTTTTGTTTTTTTTAATCAAAAATTTAGAAATGTTCTAAAAAGAAGAGTACCAAAAAAGCATCCAAAGAATAACTTAAAAAAACAAAAACAATAATAACTTTAATTTTCCTTCAATAATATATACTTAGATGATAAAATTTGTTTTCGGCAAGGTTGGCGTTCTCTTTCTACTGTTATTCTTTTTGTATGATTTCGTGGAGGTACCAAATTAATGGCCATCACTGAATTTGTTCACCAAGCTCGAGGTAAGACTGACGAAGCTCAGGCTTTTGATTTAGATACATCGGAGGCGTTAAAGAGGATTTGGTATGCTGGTCTTTACCCCAAAATCAAGGGGACGAATATTTTGATTAATCCAATCTTTCCTAACACTTTCGCCCAAGCCCCTCAACCTCCGACCTCTTGCTCTCTGGGTTGAGGTGTCTACTCGGTCCTAACCGAACTTAAGGGAGTGGCCGTAGGTCCCCTGAGCATCCGTAGATTATTCGACCGGTCCACTGGTTTAATCCTGCTTCCTGCCCACGTTGAAAGCAGAAGTGATGTTCATCCATTTACGGTCGACTGAAGATGTAGACACGGCTGGAGAGTCTGCGCTAAGAAATTTAGAATGCAGCAAAAAAAATAAATAAATAAATAAATGTCTGCAGAAAGCCGGACAAACAACTATTCAATGATTGTTAATGTCTTTTATATAGCAGAAAAGAACAGTAGAGAAGAGAAACGGGTTACAGAAAAGAAAAGTAATTGACGTAGAAACGCATACACTGGATTCTGGAGAGAGAGAGAGAGAGAGAACGTTATGATTAACTTGTTAAATCGTCTCAGAACGATATACGACTCTTGCGATGGGGGAATAAGATTTCTGCGCGCGGCTTAAAGTTTATAGTGGCGTTCCTCCTTAGCAGTAGTAATATTCGTAATAGCAGAAGCAGCGGTACTTATATCAATAGTACATCTCTGACCTCACTTTCTCTCCTTTTTGAGTCTCCACAGCCTCTAGCTCAACTCTTGCCCGGGCTAATTCTTTTTCTCTCTCGTCTGCCTCTTTTTCAGCATAACTACGCGTTTATAACCTTGGCCCTACTCCTTCGCACGTGATTATCACGGGGTTTTGGCTGTTTCAACCAAAATCATGTGAATTCTAAAGGTCCTCCTTGCTTAGTCAGCTCTATTTCAATTTTTAATCGATAAAAATTATTTCGGCCATTTCCATTATCTTCTGATGGCCCAGATTTAATGGGTACAACTTCCCCATCAGTAAACAAAATGCTCTGATTTAATTTCGCTATTTCAATTTCACTAAAAAGAAAAAAAAAAAGTGTGTGTGTGTGCGTTTCCCAAACTGTCTGTCACACCTATTAAATCGTGTAATGAAGGTTATGTTGAATTTTTTCGACAATATTAAATGACGGCAAAGATCTGTATATCCGCCGAAAAGACTGAATCATGTAATATCTTGGTACTTGATCGTGGGCCCCAAATAAATTCAAAAATAGGTATAATAGGATAGCGTAATACTTTAGTGGGAGATATGCCAACATTACAGGTTACGGGAAAAAAAAAAAAAAAAAAAGCTTGCGTAAAAACATCACCGCCTCAAATTGGCGGCGGCGGTTAATTTAATCTGGAACTTAGCCCTACAGACTAAAGTAAATATTAACAAAAAAAATCTTCTCGAAACAGTATTTTAGAGCCAGCTCTGCGAGGTGGGGGGAACAATGGAAAGCAATCACAGACAGATTTTTTATAGCGATTTATTAAGCATAAGATTGATCTTTCGATAATCCGAATTGCGATAACGTGACAATTTAAAATTTAGAGTATTCCTTAAACTGGAAGCACACGTAGTTTGGTGGGAGAAGAATGACATTTGTGCTAAAAATGAATACAACAGACTAGGTCTTCACTAACTACTCGCCGATAAGTTTCGCTACTTGCGTATCCACATTGAGATCCCCACTTAAGATTTTAGCAAAAGTAATTGATAAACCTCTCCAAAATATGATCTTGGAAGAAATTACAAGAATGGCGCATTTAAACAACCATTATTCCCATGGTGATTAAACCCACAAAAAAAGTGTTCAAGTGTAAAATAAAAGCACAGGTTTTCCTTTAAAACACACATTTTTTCTCTCTCCCCCTCGCCTAATGAGAAGGCAACTCTCATAAAAAGAGGAAGAAAAGACTGAGCACATGCTAAGAAACGGAAGTTCGCTAAATAGATGCTCCATGCATCTGCTATAAGGGACCGTGGAAAATAAGAGTATTTTGGCCAGTCAAATGAACGATGACTTGATGTTAGCTGAAACTAAGCTTCACACCAAGTCATGTATATAAATAAATGGCCAACAGACAGTAGTAGAAAGGAGTCAGCCAGAGAAACCACCGAAGCTTGTCACTTGAAGAACTAGTGGTCATCTGCTTAAGACATTTTCCCGCCTCTTTTGAGAGCCGAGAAAACATTATTTGTCGTCCACAAGATGTTTCCAAAATAAACAGTTTACGGATATTACTTTAGTAGTAGAGACTATCAACTACCCAGCCGAACGAACTTTTGCCGACCAGAATTACAAAGAATCGAAATCAAATAAACGTTTTTTTTTTCTGAAGTTTCCGAGAATTATGGCAAAGACCTTTTTGCGTTTGTCCACAAATGAATGAGTATTGGTCACACATGTAGTTAACTCGATTATGTTGTTGCTGGAAGAAAACGAATAAACGCTCACCGGGTTTTAAAAGACGAAAATTAAAAATTCCTCTGCTGGAACCTTTTCGCTTCAGTCTCGTTTCTAAGTCTTCACTTGGTGAGACCTGGTGAAGAAAGTTCTTGCAGTTAAATTGTATTCCAAAATGTTACGAGAAATTAAAGGAGATGACTGGTTTATATTAGCCAATCGATGTGTATAATCCATGTCAGTTCTAGCTGACGGTGGAGGTGTTAAACGGAAAGTCTGCAACTTGTTTTTGTTGGGGAGGGGTACTCCTAGAGTTTATTATGTAATTTTTGTGCACACGCGCGTGCTAGTTATGCATAGACAAAATAGATGAAAAAACTTTTCATTTACCATATATTTCAACTGAAAGATTTAATAAATTATTTTATCAAACAACTAATCAAAAAACTTTTAAGCAAAAATACCTACTCTTGCCATTTATATTGAAGAACGTGTTATGTACTTTTTTTTTATTATATACAAGATAAAAATGCATTAGAATTATGAGGACATAAATGTGATATCTTGTAGATCACTTCTGTTACAATTCTTCCTTGATTTTAAGTGCTTAAGTGTTTCATGACTAAATATTTTAAAGCTCAGTTTACTTTTATGAAAAGTTATTTCTATTAATTTTTATGGTCTCATTAGATTTTGCTAAAAAAAAAAAAAAAAAAAAATGCTCGTGGATTTTTCGTTTTAACCTGCTGTGTAGAAACCATTTATTCACATTCTACTTGATATACAAAAGCAAGTTAATAGATTTGGAAATTCTTTTGCAATTAAAACTTGCAACTGAATTAGCTTTATAAAATAGACAAAAGGTAATAATCATAGTTATTCCCATTGCCACAAAAATTGCGATAAGTGATCTAAAGTTTCCGTATTAAAGTTTTATTTTGAAAGAAGTATTTAGTTAAGTGAAACTGATTCTTTTAAATTTTATTACATTTCTTGTACATTGCGTAATGACGATTTCAGCGTATCGCATTTCTTTCCTATTTTGAAGTGGAGACACGTAGGGCAGAACGTTCCTCAAAAGTAAACTCAACGGTGTAGACATGAAAATGTCTATAATCACCAACAATAACAGTTATTTGCCTGCATATTCGTGCATTAAATAAATATAATTACATAGAAAATAATGACAATCTTGTCACCTATCTATCGGACAGTCTTCAGCAACGAAAGAGGCGAGAAAATATCGTCTTCAGATCCTTTGCGAGTAGAAGGAAAACAGTTCCACAAGCACATTATCTCATCGGAGCCAGCAGAAGCTTAAAAATAAAAAATAAATTAGATGGGAAAATGATTTAACAAGCGAAAATGATTATAAAAAAAAAAAAAAAAAAAAAAAAAAAAGACCAATTTGTTTTTAATGCTCATGATAAATGAAGGGTTTGAATCATTCTAATTCTGTTATTGATGTCATGACTAAGGATTTTTAATGTTTAGCATTCATAATTTAGAACTTTACCTCCTCGTAGTGGCGGGGATAAGGAGTCAATTACCAGGTTTTGCACTAACGCGTAAAAACATTAGTTTTAGTTTATGTACCGCCAGAGAATCACTGAAAACTGAAAAAATTAGCATGCCATGAGAGATATACAAGGCCCAAACTTAAAGTTTGGCCAAAAATCATTGTTAAAAAGGAAAGTCCAAAAGGTTGGAGATTATTAATTATATTTTTGATCCCTTTTAGAACATGGTTACTTAAATTTTTTTTTTTACTAATTTTTGGCGCCCGCCTTAACGTATGGAAAAATAAAAAATCGTCGGATTTCAATGAAACTTTCAGGACTTATTCACAAATGAATAAAATTATTTTACTTTTTTTTTGAGTTTTTTTTTTTTTTTTTAACGTATGTTATAACCCCCAATATATAAAATTAAAAAAATTTAAAGAAATAAAATACTGAAAGTGATTATGTTAATCAAAAGCAGAACTCGTTAAAGAAATTAAATGTACAATTTCTTTTGTAAAAAAAAAAAAAAAAAAATCGTAAAATAAAATTCACTAAAAGTAAAACATTTTTAGGTACCTCCATAAAAATCAATAAAAAGAGCATAGCATGACAACAACGGCCTTAAATATGATGAAAAAAAAAAAAAAATTATCTGCTTAAGTATATATCAATCATTATTAAGAAATACCAAAGAATTTTTTATTTAAAAAAATTTTTTAACTCATTCTTAGCATGTCCAATATTTAGTTAAAAAAATTTTTTGTCAGCGAAATTATTAATAAAAAAAAATTTAAAAAATGAAAAAAAAAAAAAAAAAACAAAGAACCTCGGTACCAGCAATTTTAAAATTTTGTAAACGAAGTTAAAATCCTAGTTTAAAATTCTTCCAAAAATCAATTATACGTTTTTCAAAATTTGGCGAAAATTAGCAAATTTAAAGATTTAATATATTTTGAAAAAAATTTGCTTACTTTCTTCGAGAAAAATGTTTAAAATAAAAAGGCGATCTTAACATCGTTGGCTATTGACAAGTGATAAATGATAGCTGTCATCACATATCGAGAGCTAACGTGAGATTCGAGTTATCATACGGAATGATATAATTGACGTAACTTTTCCCCCCGCCATGAACATGCTTATGTAGTACCTCGTAATTATTAAAGTAAATAAAAAAAAAAAAAACCTTTCAGCATTCAAATTTGTTTCGTTTTTTTATTACCGTAGGTTACAACTTTGTTGATACTATCTGTAGAAATTATAAATCCGATAAATTAAATACAATGCTGTACATTTTTTTTAAAAAAAGGGAACTATAAAGCCCAAAAAAATAAAAAATCAAAAATTTTTCCAAAACTTTAAAGGGGAAAAAAAAAAAAAAAAAAAAAAAAAAGAAAAAAATTTCCCCCAAGAAAAAAAATCAAAAAAAACAGGTTTTAAAGTTATTTGTTAAACTAAAAAAAAAGGGCCAAAAAAAATTTGAAAAAAATTGGAAAAAAAAAATTTCTAAAGGTCAAAATAACGAAATTTTTGGGAAATTGTTACTTTACGTTTAAAGAAACAGACCTCCTGGAGAAAGGAGCCAATTTATTTTTATACTAATCCAAATCAGTTTTAATGACAGTGGAAGTGAAAACGGAGTATCTGAAAAAGCGTTTTTTGTTGGGAGAATAACTCCTGATGTTTATAAATATAATTTTTGTGACCAAAACGTTTTTGCTTTAGTTATAAATCACGACAAAATTGATGAAAAAACTTTTCATTTTTGCCATATATTTCAACTGAAGATTTAATAAAATTATTTTTTCTAGAAAACATTGATTTGAAATTTTTTTAAGCAAAAATAATTTACTCTTGCCAATTTATTTTGAAGAACATATTCATATACTTTTTTTTTATATACAAAGATAAAAATGCATTAAATTTCAAGACATAAATGTGATATCTTTAGGGAACTTCTGTTACAATTCTTAACTTGATTTTAGGTGTAGTGAGAAATGATTAAATATTTTAAGCTTTTTTTTTTTTTATGAAAAAGTTATTTCTATTAATTTTATGGTCTCATTAGATTTTTGCTAAAAAAAAAAAAAAAAAAAATTTTTGAATAGATTTTCTTTTAACCTGTTTTGTAAAAACCATTTATTCACATTCTACTTGATATACAAAACAAGTTAATAGATTTGGAAATTCTTTTGCAATTAACTTGCAACTGTAAATTTCATTTATAAAAAAAAAAAAGACAATTTAAATCTTTTTTTTTACCCATTGCCACAATTTTTGCGATAAGTGATCTAAAAGTTTTCGTATTAAAAGTTTTATTTTGAAACTTTCCTAAATTTAGATTGCAGTGAAACTTTTTCCAAAATTTTATTACATTTCTTACTTTAAAAAAAATTATTTCAGCGTATCGCATTTCTTTCCTATTTTGAAGTGGAGACAACCTTAGAAGAACGTTCCAAAAAGTAAACTCAACGAGGTGTAGACATGAAAATGTCTATAATCACCAACAATAACATCCATTTGCCTGCATATTCGTGCATTAAATAAATATAATTGTTCAGAAAATAATGACAATCTTGTCACCTATCTACAGGACAGTCTTCAGCAACGAAAGAGGCGAGAAAATATCGTCTTCAGATCCTTTGATAGAAGAAAACAGTTTTTGACTTTAAAGCACATTATCAACCAAAGCCAGCGAAACAAAAATAAAAAATAAATTATATTGAAATGTTTGCCAAGCAGAAAATGAGAAAAAAAAAAAAAAAAAAAAAAAAAAAAAAAAAGACCAGGTTTGTTTTTAATGCTCATGATAAATGTGGGTTTGATTTATTCTAATTCTGTTATTGATGTGTGACTAAGGATTTTTTCAATATTAATATTCAAGAATTTGAACTGTCTACCTCCTCGTTTTTTGGCGGGGATAAAGTCAATTATCGGGTTTCAGAACTCCAAAACATTGGTTTTTTTTTTGTAATTTTTGTTCACTTAAAACTGAAAAATTAGCATGCCATGAAAGATATACAATTTTAAGTTTGGCCAAAATCGCTTTCAAAAAAAAGTCAAAAGGTTGGAATTTCAAATTAAATTTTGATCCCTTTTAGAAACATGGTAGAAAAAATTTTTTTTTACTAATTTTGGCTTTTATAACGTATGGAATGGAAAAAAATCGTCAGTTCAAAAAACTTTCAGGACTTATTCACAAATGAATAAAATTATTTTACTTTTTTAATTTTTTTTTTTTTTAACGTATTGTTTACCCCCCAGGTAAATATATAAATTCAAAATTTAAAGAAATAAAAAACTGAAAATGATTTTTTTTAATCAAAAGTGTGAACTCGTTAAAGAAATTAAATGTACAATTTCTTTCATACTTTTTTTGCTAAAGAAAAATCGTAAAATTTTCCCACTAAAATGCAAAACATTTTAGATACCTCCATAAAATCAATAAAAAGAAATGTAATGACAACAACGTCCTTAAATATGATGAAAAAAAAAAAAAATTATCTATTTATTTATATATCAATCATTATTAAGAAAAATACCAGTATTTTTTTTATTTAAAAAATTTTAACTCATTCTTAGCATGTTAAAATAACATAATTAAAAAATTTTTTGTCAGCGAAATTTTTAATCAAAAAAATTTTAAAAAAAAAAAAAATAAAAGAACCTGAGTACCAGCATTTTTAAAATTTTGAAAACAAAAGTTAAAATCCTAGTTTAAAATTCTTCCAAAATCAATTATACGTTTTCAAAATTTGGCGAAAATTTTCAAATTTAAAATTATTTAATATTTTGAAAAAAATTTTCTTACTTTCTTCGAAAAATGTTTAAAATAAAAAGGATCTTAACATCGTTGGCTATTGACAAGTGATAAATGATAGCTGTCATCACATATCTCTGCTAACGTGACTTTTTTTATCATACGGAATGATATAATTCAGTTTAGCCAGATGATCAGTATACACATGAATAAACAATCATAATTATTAAGTAAATGAAAAAAAAAAAACATTTCAGCATTCACAATTCGCATCTTTTTTTACCGTAGGTTAAATGGGATTGATCTACCTTTGAGTTTAGTAAATCCCAAAAATTAAATCACATCTTTTACTCTTAGCTTTTGAAATGCAATCATGTTAGCAGACAATAGTTATAATGCAAATCTATTTCAAGGATTTCTGCCTTGACTATAAAACAGTCAATCTAAAATAAGAAAATTGTTCATTCAAGCCAATTTGTTATAGGAAAAATCTTTTGAAAAAATAAATTTTCTGAAGAAAATATTAACATCTTTCATTGTCATTGCAATCTAGTAATTTATATCTGAAAATTTTGAATATTTTATGTTAAACTCATCGATATTTCCAAATTTAATTGTTTGGCTTTTGATTAAGCTAACCTAGTAAATTTGAGAAAGCTTGGACATTTCGGTAGATACCTCCAGAATATGTCATGAATAAAACCGTTAAATGCATACGAAAATTATAGTTTTCATAACATTCAATGATCATTGGATATAAAAATTTCATTATCACACTTATAATATATATTAATGGTTTCTTTTCATCAAATCTAATATGTTTTTTACGTGTCCATTCAAGATATTAATGAATTCCTTACAAAAGTTTTCTGGATATAATACACACCGGTTATTATTTTACTTCTTTATATGTATATATTATATATATATATATATATATATATATATTCAACAATTTCTAAACCATACCTTTATATAACTATATAAACAATATATAACATATAATATATATATATAGGTTAAACAACATATTATTTATTTTCAGGTTAGAATT